GACAGCAGACTCGCTGAATCTCTGGTGTCCATGGCCCGCATAATAAGCTTTGATCGTGATTCATGTGGTGGGCTGGCAAGACCTGTTGAAGGAAGAAGCCAGATTGGAGGAAGAACGAATAAAAGAGGTCCGTTCTCCAGAGAATTGGAATGCTGCGATGCCTGGGCGATCCTTAGCCTCCTCTTCCCTGCTCAGCTGCAAGGTTCATGCCGCAGTTGCTGCAGCTTCCTTCGAAGACCTTGACACCAACAATGATGGTGTGATTTCACGTGAGGCGACAGCAACTTCTCTCATCACTGAAACCTTGACTATACACTATATGTATCTATATGTCGTACTGTATATTGACCTTCCATTGACCAATGGCTCCTTCAGATCTTCAGATCGGCTAAAAGATGTGGACCGCACAGAGATGCTGTCGAGCTCTGTCCACCCAACAGGAATTCCACGACTTCGTGCAGAAGGAGAGCAAGCGACAGAAGGAGAGCAAGCTCTTCTTTTGCGGGACAACAGCAGTCTGAATTTTATTTTATTGCTGTAAGGAAGTTCCTGGAAGGTAGCAGAATAGAGAAGTAGACATAGCACACAATCTACACCTACACTTTGCTTAAGACACATTTCATGTCCGTCTCCGTATTTGGTTTCGGGACACGCAAGGTTGAGGACGAGCCCAATGAGACCTTGGTCGACCAGGCACCGGAAGAATGAACGACTGGAGTTTGACGAACGACCGGCAGACTCCCGAGGCTGAAACACAACCTTCGGCAAAAGGGGAGGACTGAGTTCGATTCCGTCTTTTATTCAGATCCTTCTGGATCCTTTGGGGGGACAGAGCTTGCAACATCCTCTGAAGAGCTTTCGGATTACTTCATCGTAGTGTGTCTTTTTTGGTTTCACTGCCATGTCTTGCGACGATCTTTTTGCCATTGTCTTCTCCCTCTCCCTCTCTCTCTCTCCCTCTCTCTTGAAGGTTTGGATCAGGAAGTGACTTTGAATCATTTGGCTGGCGACAGGAGACGCAAGCTCCTGAAAAGCAGGAAGAGGTGACCTTCTTGTATTTGAAGAAAGGGTTGGGCAGAAGAAGCCTGAAACATGCAGACGCAACCAGTGCTGCAATCAGGCCGCTCCCCTCTCACCATCATTCGAGGCCAGTCACGATGCTCGCAAACTCCTACTCATGGCTTTCGAAGATCATGTCCTTCTTTTCTCACTGCAGAATTCCTAATAGTCTGGTCTCTCAACCAACTTGAGTAGGGAAGACCAGAAGTGGCCGGACTTGATTGGTACAAGTAGCTGTGGACCTTCGCTTGTTCAGGATGAGGATCCCGAGACAATCCAAGAGCGCGTGCAGGAGGCTGTAGAGGGTGGAAGCTGGAATTGACAGCAATGGCTTGATAAGATGTTTGACGAGAAGACCAAAACACTTGAACTTTGAGAGAATGGGATAAGGGGAGGCTGATCGCGCTTGTGTGCTGCTACCATAGATCAATCTCACTCAAGCCGTTCGAGAAGGTCCTGGAGGAGAACAGCAGGCTGCGCTCCGAAAACGAAGCCTTGAGGGTTCTGGCCTGAGCTTTGGAGCTTTCCGTTCGTGGGAAGGGCAACAATTACTACTAATCTCTTGCTGTTTGATGCCGGTTGAGTCAGGTGGAACTGGAGCATTTGCTCGCACTCACCGTGGCTTACACACTCAGTACAAAATGCACCGTGCGGACGACAATAACGGTAGAGGAAGGACTTCAGGAAGGTAGAGGATTCAAGGGATTCAAGTCATGGAATTACAGCTCGGCAAAACGAGAGAAACACAGCAAATAGGTGCAAATAGCAATTGTGTAGCAATAGTGGAAGGAAGTGGTGTCGGGCCTTGGACTCCACGATCCCTCACAAGCATCAACACTTCCACACCACCTTTTTGAGATTTCCTTTGAATGCAAAAAGCTGATCACTGAGACTCCGGAGATCACGCCACCGCAGACGGGCGGGAGATGAGGCCTGATCAAGTGGCGTAGACCAGTTTGACAAATGCCCTTTGATGCTTTGTCTGCAAACTTCGAGCTCAATTTGATGCATTTGTTTGTAAGATGGAAGGATTCAGGGAGTGAACGCCGCAAGCTTCTGTGGCTAGGCTATGAGGTGTGCGAATAGCTCTGCGGTCAAGCTGGAAGTGGAGTTCCATCGCTTTTCCAAGACAATTGAATGCTTCATCAAAAAAAGTGCAGGTTGGGCAAGAAAGGTTCCCAAGCAGAAACTCCAACTACTCCATCTTCCTCCTTGAGGCCAAAGAATGGATTATTTCTGCCTTGAAAGGTGCTAAGCCTTGGAGGCTTTCAGTTTCACTTGGCGAGTTGTGACCTCCAAACCTTTGTCACTCAAAAGCCAGACAGCCAGAGAGATCCATTTCAAGGGGTAACAGGAACAATCAATGGCCGGACCATGTTCAAATTAAACAATGCTTTGGAGATGGTACGGTAGAGCCTAGAGGCTATTTGATCAACAAGTGGTTGGTTTGCGCAGAATTGCCTGGAATAAATTTTGGGAGTGTCGAGATCTTGGGATTCTTTGGGGTGGGGTAGGTGTTCTATACCTTATTCTTTGTAAACAAGAAAGACAGATTGCAGAACTGTGAGCGTATTGTCCGCGGGCAACTCTTCCCCTCTGTATAGCTGGTGCTGCGTCGTCGTCGTCGTCGGCATCGGCGTCGGCGTCGGCGTCGGCGTTGGCGGCGTCGGCGTCGGCGGTGTCGTCGGAGTCGTCGGAGTCGTCGGAGTCGTCGGAGTCGGAGTCGGAGTCGGAGTCGTAGTCGCAGCAGCAGTAGTAGTAGTAGTAGTAGGAGGAGGAGGAGGAGGAGCAGCAGCAGCAGCAGCAGCAGTTGCAGTCCCAGTGGCAGTAGCAAAAGCAGTGGCAGTATATACTGTAGATGATCTTGTTCTCGAAATGTTCTGTCCTGGAAAGTCATCAACCGATACGATTTGATATTTTGAGGTCAGGACCATGGAGCTAAATGGGGCAGTGGTCAAAGCTTGATTCCATGCCAAGCTGGCTTGCTAGATCTTGCCAGAATGCTAGACATTGAAAACTGATCAAGCAGAAAGACTCTCTAATCCAACTAGCATTCTAGCACCGCCAAGACCACCTTTTTGGATCGAGCCAGACTGCTGAAGGCAGGCTGTGCTCGGACCGATTTGGCCTACTAATTCATCATTTGGCTAGATAATTTGCAACACAGGCAATTTGTCCTTACTCAACTTTGTTTCTGTCTGTTTGGTTCTGGAGATTTGTCGTGCTGACGGGACCGGGAAGATCATTTCCCTGAGAAGCTTGGCTTTCTCCCTCGACGGCATAGTGTCACATGCAAAAGGTCTCGACACTGAGATGGATTGAACATTGTGAATTCTCGCACTTCAGTTCTGCACTTTGAGTGTCCAAACGCAATGAAGGCTCAAACTTGGTGTATTTCAGCCCCAGGGACTGCAATGGATCCTTCGAAGATACCTTCCCAGGCGCTTTGCAGCCGAAACGAACCCACTGTTCTCGTGCATGTATACCTGCCCTTCCCAAGCCCAGAGTTGCACCAGCATGGTGACTGTTGAACCTAATAACGATGGCCTTCAACCTAATAGTAAACTATATTATACAGTATAGACTTGTTTTCCTTTTCAACTTTCTTGGTTTTAATTTCAATGGCCTCCAGCCTACTGCAGCGTGAGACATCCACCCTCATTGAACCTTTGGCTCAGCCTTCGCTCAATATCATGGAAGACCAACAAGAACTGTCCAGCAAAGTGTTTCAATGATCCACGTTGTTGGGTAAAGTTTGCAAGCAGTTCAAACAACATGCAGGTTTGCATCCGTAGTCCATAGAGTAATAGCCCAAAACTCAGAGCGCAACCTGAAGAACATCGTACACACTCCTTCATGTTGCCACAATGGCCATCGCTGTATGGGTCCTGGTCGCAAGCTTGCGTTTATTGCACGTGCTTGCAGCCACAACGACAGAAGCCGATCACCATCCGATAGATACTTAGCAATAGTATTAGTGTGTGTCTTTTTTGCGACGCGTGCTTACCAGCCAGCTGACAATGACAGGGGAACGATGCTTCCAACCACCTCTATCTCAATAATCTTTGGTGTTTGAGCCTTCCTTTGATTGGCCGATATGACATGGATCCGAAGTGGATGTTGGAAAAGTGTCGGGATTCTTTCAGCTTCGAGCCTTCGCCAAGGACAACTCCACTGACGAGCATGCCGTGGCTACCTGGCAGGGGCTTGACCATGTGTTTTCAATGTGAAGGAGCCAATACATCAACTAGATCTCAGCAACGACTATCAGTTCGGTTTGTTGCTATTTACTTTTGTCTTGCATTAGGTTGAATAATTTCACACTGACTCTATTGATTTGTCTTTATTGAATGGAATTACCTGCTCTGAGCTTCTATGCTTTTGTTTCATGCATATGCCAAAACATGCAGAATGATTTGTGAAATTGATTTTGTATATCTAACCCTCAACAGCAGTTCTTATTATGACAAATTACAACAAACACACAAAGCCGAATAGTGGGTTTCCCAAATCGTAGAACACATCATAAACATGTATCATGCGGTTAGACAGCATGAAGCTAGAATGCACGGTTAGATGAGATACCCATCGCTTGCCACCTGCATAATATTCAAGACTACTTGGTATCCACATAACGAGATCGACCTCAATTGTGGCTTTACACCTTTCCATGGGAGTATGGGCTCCAATTAAGGTGCTTTGGACTCTGCACGTTGTACATCTAAGGAAGGCCATGCTGATCAGCATATTCACCCGCATGTTGCACTGTTGCTGCTGGGCAGAAGAGGTTTTCATGACTTGGTTACTGATTTGACAATCACCATTTCTTTGAACCGGAACGGCACACCCGACTTGTCTTTTTTGGGCGACCTTCGCTTGGTGTGTTGGAACGCGACTTCCGCCGATGCCACAGTGATGCTGCTAGGTTTCCCTTCGTTGCAATGCTATCAGGCTGGATTTGGGTCAGAAGTGCGTGCTTGTGGGGTGCTTTTTGGAACGATGCTTGTGGAGCCATTGCAAGAGGTATACCCGGACAGTTAGGATTCAAATAATCTAGTGACACTAGGAGCAAGGACGCTACAAGGGGCTCCTGGCCTTACTACTAGGAGCAATGTTCGCTACTAGAGGCAAAGATACCGCTCATAAGAACAGAGCTGGCGGCTGGAGACTGTTCGGCTGCTTGCCAGAAGCCTCTGGAGACTGTTCGTCACGATCGCAGGTATGACTATAACACACATCACTTCTCGGTGCCCGCGACTGGGAATCATTCCCTACACGGTTGCACTGCTGCTTCTTGTCGCAGTCTGGCAGACTGTTTGAGGTTGCTAGTGTTTTGCCCAGTGAAGAATTGGATCGGTCACTAGTCTCCTGCGTTGTTTCGTTTAGAGTGAGGATAGTCGGCTACTGCATTGGATTTCTGGATATTGAAACTGGTGGCGGTTTGGGAACGCTGTCCCAAAGTATCAGCCTTTGGATCGCCATGGTCTCCTGGCAGCAGTTGCGAGTAGCTGCTAGGCCTAGGCAGAAAGTATTGGAGACATTTGGAGACTTCGTCCTTTCTCAAGTTCATCGAGGATGCTGAGGGACCTACCTTTTGTTGATACCCTTCAGCCTCGGAAGCTGATGAGAGAAAGGGCTTCCGCTGTCGTGCGAAAGAGAGGAGGCCGGAATAAGGCCCACATTGGGCTATACATGTCCAGCCTAACCAGGACCAAGAATGAGAGCGATGGCACAAGAATAAGCCACCGAGCCTGCGCACATGGGAAGCATGGGGAGGTGTTTGGATACTGGAATTGAAAAACAGGAGCGGCAACAGAAAATTATATACCTGATTCATCTTCAACTGAGGATCCGCACCTGCTCCTATTTGCCTTTCTTCCTGTTTTGCTTTTCGGAGATGCCATGTCGATTGTGCCTTGGCAGAGTGTCGCAGGGCATTGTTTTTCACACGATCAACCACGCGAAATCATTCAACAGGTCTCTCTCCAACAAATCTCCCGACGGGTCTCCCGACGGGTCTCGGATGTGTTGGACTGATTGAACCGATTTGCAGCGGAAGGTGTGGCACGATTTCCAGCGGACGGCTGCTCAATGCGTTCTCCTGGCAGGACAGCTGTCTGATCGGCAGTGGGCTGGGCTCTTCAGTGAAACTGAAAACAGCATGTTATTTGTTTATTATAGACTTATAGACTCTCATTTTATAGACTTTGCAAACTAGGGGCCAAGACTCACAGCCTTTCAGCTGCTTTCTTGCTACTCTCAGAACAGGACCTGGAGTGCTGATTGGGACAGCACTGATGTACCTTGTGGCCAAGTACATTTTTCCTTTTGGCTTCTCGACATTCACATTAGCAGTCCAGGGTCACGCTAAGCAAAGCAAAGCGAAGCTTTGTTTTTGTGTGTCTTGTCTGTGTGTGGGGTCAACACAGTCGTCAAAAGCCTTCACAGTTCATGTTCAACCCCCACTTCCCAGCTCGACTCTCCTCGACAAAATTGGGGCCCCCAAGATCGAATCCAACGCTGCCGCTGAGGCTGGAGTGACTTCGAGTGCGCCGCGTTTGGCAGTGTTTTGGCAGCCACCGATCCTGTGGCGGTGGTAGGTCTCTTGAAGGTCGGATTGGCGAAATGAGCTCCACCGGTTCCAGAGCACCTTTCTATCTAGACTAGACTCTTTAGACTTTAGACGGATTTGAGATGCTTCCTGAGCTTTCGAGCACAAGAACGCTAGCCTCCCTCCTACCCCTGATACCCTGGTTGGACTCAAGCCTCAAGAATGAAGCTTCACTTTATTCTTTCTGAAGGAGATGGGAGCAAGCAGAGTCCTAACGATGCAGATAGCTGGAGAGTCCCTGCTCAATGTCACTCAACTGCAAGCATAGTGTCAAGCTTTGACTTGATCGGACAGCCTTTTCAGTCGTGTTTGGAAACAGATGCTAAGGATGGTGTGGCGATTGTCGTGTGGCTTGTCTTTTTCAATTTCATGAAAGGACCGTGGCTGGGGCTTGGCATGTGTGCCGAATGCTGCAGAGACAAGCTTGGGAGCAAAGGTAAGCATCACTCTGACTTCATCTTCATCCACAGTCCTTCTTTCTACCTCAGACAAGAGATGCCATGTTTTTCACCACAGAAGTGGTGCCAGGGCGTTAGCCGTTAGCCATGAGGAGAAGTTTCTGTTCCGCTTGAATCCACAAAGCCGTCTCTGCCAGGAGGAGAGGCTGGTGCAGAGATCCTCTGGAGCTTCTTGCGCCTAGCAGCTGGTGGGTGTGCTTTTGGGGTCGTATGTGGACTTGTAGGGTCACGTGCCTCGTCTGCCTTGGCCTGGAATGGACAGGACATTGAGGAAATCCAGAGCGGAACTTTGTTGAAGCTCTTTTTTGGGACCAACTAGTTTTGAATAGTTTTGACATTTTCTTCGTGGATGTATTTACAATGCGCGTGTAGTGTCATGTACTTGTTGCAGTTTCAGTTTGTGGCTGCATCAATCTTGGCAGCCCTGCATTAGCAGAGCTACGAAGACTAGTTTTGCTCAGCTAAGGATGGATATCTTTGGCCTCTGACCGTCTGGTTCATACGGACTCCTTGGTGCAGGCCAGGGGATGATTATAGATGATGAATGATGACCTGACCTCCAAACAAGCTCAACTAAGATCCCGCCATTCAGATGGAAGCTTCATTTACAGTGGATCTGACCGAGTGATCTCAAACACTACAAGACTCACAATGCTAGCTGTGTTTAGAAATCCCACCGCCGCCGGCAAGCACTTCTCAAGGTGACACTCACCATCACTGTGGCCTACGTTTCTTTCTTTGTCGGAGAAAACGAGCTGAAAGTGAGCGGCGTGCTCGCGACCATCTTCACGGCCCTCATGGTGAGCAGAATATGCAAGCCACTTCTTTGTGACAAGGCAGCTTCTGCATTTCACCTTGATACGTGTTCAGCAAGGTTGCTTTGTTGCCAGGATGGGCTTCAAGCGATTTGGCACACTCTGGAGTTTTTTGGCAACACCATCCTCTTCGTGCTGTGTGGTGTCTTTGCATACACGGCATGCAAGAAGGTGGAGTGGGCCGACTTTGCCTGGCTGGGTTTGTTGTACATACTTGGGAACCTCGCTCGGGGCTTGATGATTGCGATGCTGGCACCTCTCGTCAACTTGGTGGGCGGTTCTGACGTGACGTTCCTCGGCAAAGCAGATTGCTAGACCTTGCAACAAAAACATTGGATGTCAAGCATGCTCTTGTCACCAAGGCGGACCACTTGGAGAGAATGCGTTGCTGGGAGCTTAATCAGACTTTGTCAGCGCAGCAAACATCGAGTCAATTGATCTCCTTGACCAAGCCTCGCCGGTGCAGGTCATGACGTGGGGCGGCCTCCGAGGAGCCGTAGGTCTTGCCCTGGTGCTGTCAATGCGAGATTTGCTGATACAACAGGGCAAGGAGTACACAGCAAACCTGATGGTATCCTGGACGCGGGCCATGCATGGTCATACATGGTTATGCAAGTGGTTAGATTGGTGCCAGGTGAAGACGACAGTTTGCAGCTGTTTTCTTGTGTGGAGGTTCAGTAATGAATGCTTTCTTCAGATCCTTTTCAGGCAACAAACCATCTAGATAAATCTTTAGTTATATAAATAATCTCAATTCTTGTGCATCTTCTCGGGTCTTGTGCCCCAAGCTGAATGACATCTACTAGCACTGTAGGTCTTCTTCATCTCTGGCTTTGCAACGCTTACGCTGTTGATCAATGCCACCACCTGCAGCCTGCTCTTGAAGTACTTGGGTCTCACAAAGCCACTGGAGGCAGAGGGATATGAGGGATCAATGCTCTGGAGGCTTAGTGAACGTTCATGCGAAAAGGAGCGCCCCACAATCTCTTACAGTAGAGACTGGTGCAGACACCTTTCCGAAACTTTCCCCTTTCAAGGCCCAGACGGCTATTCTACAAACCCTTCGGCAGGAATTGCTACATTCTCAGCTTGTGCGAGAATCATGGATGTTTGATTTATATGTTTGCTGATGCTTGCTGATGTTCGCTGTTAGTGACTGGGGGATGAGGATGGCTGCTTCCAAGAAAGCCTTTAGCGATTCCCTTGCCACTGATGAACGCTTCAAAGCAGTTCACCAGCATCTTGGCATTCCAGTGATGCAGCAAAGCTCGATTCTCAAGAGCATCAAGAGCTCCCGACATCATATTCTCAGGCGAGAGCTGGATATGCTACTGGAGCATCTCGAAGAAGAATTGGGAGACCCTTCCCAGGACTGAACCTTGCAATGCCCTCACAGCTCAGGGCAGTGGACAATTTGGCATAAGTTGCATGCCGGTTCCAGGAGATATTCAATCAGTCTTACAGTTGTGGAAGCTCAATTGGCAGAGTAACTACGGTACCAAGGGTATTGACGGTTGCAGGAGATTTCTTTGTATTGTGCGGAATCAGTATAAGCAATGCAATTTTGTCCACTTGATTCTGATCAAGAAAATGCACATCTGAGGCTCCTCCAATCCCCATCTGAAGACAGATGCTGATGACCAAGGTGACAGCCGCCAAGATTGAATACATATGTTTTTGTCAACCCTATGCTGGCTGAAGTTGCCTTTGCTTCAGCAAGAGTTTGTCATTGTTGCTTGTGGATGAGACTTATATAGCCCCTGATATTTCAGACCAAGATCCCAAGCTTACATTTCCCTAAAGGCCTAGAAACCAAATCATTAGTGCGAGTGTGAGCTATCCTGCGTCCTAAGTAGTATCTCTTTAAGCTACTAGCTACCTCTTCTACTAGCAACTCCCTAGCTACTAGCTACTACTAGCTACCTCTTCTCGGCCTACCCCTTTCCCCTAAAAAAATAAAGGAACATAAACACATTGTAAAAACGTAACCACAACCCATGGCGTCATGGGAGCGGCAGTTTCAATCCATGGCCTGTTGACGTACAACCAGTTCGAAGCATCCGTCGTTCCCTTATTTGCCCAAACAGGTTTACCTGTGAGGGGTTCTTACTCCTTTGAAAGGGTTGCATGCCCGGGCCGCATGGCCGCATGATTTTACATATATCTCCGTTGTCTCCCGTGTCTTCCTTGTCTCCAATACACTCCGGTGCTCTGGCCGCATGATTTTAGGTTTGTCTCCGGGCTTGCGTTTTTGCCACACTGCGGTTGCTTTGGCCGCATGATTTTGCAATGTCTTCCAATTGTCTCCCTTGTCTCCAATACACTCTGGTGCTCTGGCCGCATGATTTTACACTTGTTCCCCAAATCAGGTTTACCTGTGTGGGGTTCTTATACTCTGTTTAAAGGGTTGCATGCCCGGATGATTTGACTTTGTCTCCGGGCTTGTGTTCCTGGGCTGGTGTTTCCTCTGTCCACTTGTCTCCACTTGCCCTTTTGGATACTCTTGGCCGGTGATTTACACTTGTCTCCCACTTGTCTCGTCCTACCCTGGATACACTTGGCTGGGTGCTTTTAATACTTGTCTCCACTTGTCCTCTTGGCCTGCTAAGATATTCTTGGCTTGGCTTTTTGCTTTCACGCTTGTCTGCCACTTGTGTCCCTGCTTGTCTCCCTTCTTGTTACACTTGTCTCCACTTGTCTCAGATGTGTTTTTACACTTGTCTCTTTGCTTGTCTCCCTGCTTCGATACTCTCGGCCGGATGATTTTACACTTGTGAGTCTCCCTGCTTGTTACCCTTGTACGCTTGGCCGGAAGTTTATACACTTGTCTCCATTTGCTCTTTGCTTGCTCCCTGCTTAGACGCTCTTGGCCAAAGGAGTTTACACATTTTACACTTGTCTCCCACTCGTCTCCCTTCTTGTTACACTTGCCTCCACTTGCCTCAGACTACTCTGGACAACTTGGCCGGAGTTGTCTGTTGTTTGCCTCTTGGCCTTGGCCGGATGACTTGTCTCTTTGCTTGTCTCCCTGCTTGCATACTCTCGGCCGGGTGATTTTATACTTGTCTCCTGCTTGTCTCCCTGCTGATCTTTTTGCTTGTCTCCGCTCTTGTTACACTTGTCTCCATTGGTCTCCCTGCTTTTTTCCCTTCTTGTTTCACTTGTCTCCCTGCTTGTTTCCCTTCTTGTCTCCGTGCTTGTCTCACCTCACAAACTCATGGTGGATTAAACGCTTTGAAACATTTTAAAAGCCAAATTAAGCATGATAAAGCCACATGTCAGTACAACTCAACATATTCAATAGATTAGCATATGTTCTGTTTTCGTCTGAACTGTCGGCCCTGACCTTGAGCGGACTGAGCCAAACGCTGAAGCAAGTCGAGAAGGTCCGAGTTGATCGCCGCGAGCTGGTTGAGCCGTTCACTGTTTGACAGTTCGTTTCTGTGGCTTGCTTCATAAAGGCACAAACTGTGTGAGGTCTACGCTGGCATAAAATTTATTGGGGGAGCTTCCTTGAAGAAGAGTTCGCACTAATGATTTGGTTTCTAGATTTTTTGGGAACCTGAAGCTGACTTAAGTAAGGGACCAGTAAGTGTTCACCAGCCAGAGCCGTCACCAGCGGTGCAACTTCACCTGAAGTGAAGCAGACTCTTTAGTCTTTCAGGCTAGGGAGACCGCATCCTGAGAGGCACGCAAAAACCACATCACCAGAGGTGAAGTATTCTACCACGCCGGTGTCAACCATGATTTCAAACCCAAAGACCACAACCACTACTTTGCTGGCAGAAATATTTCTTTTCATCCATGGTAGCACCATTTCACTGGCAAAAGCCACAACAATGCAACTTCAGATCAAATGGTACACTGACAAGTAAATATCTATATACTAGGTGCTACTTCACCAGCGGCCCAGTGGTGCGAATGCTGTAAAAACACGTTGGGAAAATAGTGCCTCAGCAAACTCCCAAAATGTACCACCTTACCAACAAGAAAGCAACAGCGAGGCCCCAGCATTTGTTTGGACATCTCCTTCTTTATTTTGCTAGCATTTGGTTTCAAAAACATTGAAGTAATACAATATCCTTTTCGCTTGCTTGTTTTGGCAAGCTGACATCGCTTGGCAAGGAGCTCTGAAAGACACAATATTTCTGATCACACCAAGGTGTGCGAAGAATGGCCTCTGATCCACAGATGTACCCGGCCTGGGCAACTAAGCTGAATATGGCATGGCAGATCATGTCAGTGGAACATGGATAGCTGCAGATTGGGACACAGTGTCCAAAGAGTGAACAACATTGGACCATTTCATTTCTTGCAAAATTCCTCACTCAGGGGCACTGGTGGTGGGGCTTTGAAGAGGTTCGCGTGGCTCCTTGGCGGTATTTGATGGCCAAATAGAAGCTGTGGGCTTCATTGATATGTCTACTGTCAAGTCCTTGATGTGCCCCGTAAAAGCAGTTTTGGACATGTTGTTCCGACTTCTGAAAGAATCTCCGAGTTGTGGGACAGATCGACTGAGGATCGTGGGGTGGCCTTGAGGAAGGAGGATTCCAGCCACTTCCTTGAGCAAAAGCGGTGAGGATCCAAGTGACTACGGGTCTCACCGCAGATCCAAAACCATGAAACAGTGCTGTCGGCTTTGAGGCTTGGCGTGGCGGCAAAGGGGACCTATCAGGAGACCCGCAAAGGGGACATGAAAGGAAGGGGACATGTGATCAGTGATTCGTAGTCTTCGTCACATGTCTTTGCACATATCCGTAGTTGCCGCCTGAAGATCTTGGCCAATCTCGAGAGGAACGAGTCGTATACAGGAAGCTCTTCATGTCCATGCTGCGTGCCTTGGACAGTGTCTGCCGTGCCAATGCCTGGCAAATTTGCCTTTCTTTGCCTTTTCTCCCATTCCAAGACACCAAGGTGCTGAGTACATGCGTCTCATAGAGGTTGGGATGCTGCCAAGACGAGCTTCAGGCGAGGGAATGGTTGGACGCCTTCTCAACTTTCACATTTGTTGCACAAAGAAAAGGCAAGGCAAGTCACACTGATTTACAATCCTTGTGGACATTGTTCCCCAATAGCCATGCTATGGGGTCTTGCAAAACTAATGGGCGGATGGGCGCCGTCGGGTCACCGTCAGAACTGGTGGGCCGATGGTGTCCCGGTCATGTTTGAATGGCGTCCGGGTCATGTGATGTTAGTGTCCCGCTGTCCCGATCATGTTTTGATTGTGACCCAATCATGTTGTAATGGTGTCCCGGTCCTGTTTTGATGGTGTCCCGGTCATGTTTTGATGGTGTCCCGGTCATGTTGTGATGGTGTCCCGGTCATGTTTTGATGGTGTCCCGGTCATGTTTTGATGGTGTCCCGGTCATGTGATGGTGGCGCGGTCATGTTGTGATGGTGTCCCGATCATGTTTTGATTGTGTCCCAATCATGTTGTGATGGTGTCCCGGTCCTGTTGTGATGGTGTCCCGGTCATGTTTTGAAGGTATCCCGGTCATGTTGTGATGGTGTCCCGGTCATGTTGTGATGGTGTCCCGGTCATGTTGTGATGGTATCCCGGGCATGTTTTGATGGTGTCCCGGTCATGTTGTGATGGTGTCCGGTCATATTGTGATGGTGTCCCGGGCATGTTTTGATGGTGTCCCGGTCATGTTTTGATAATGTCCCGATCACGTGATGGTGGCGCGGTTATATTGTGATGGTGTCCGGCTATATTGTGATGGTGTCCCGAGGCATGTTTGGATGGTGTCCCGGTCATGTTTTAATGATGTCCCGATCATGTGATGGTGGCGCGGTCATGTTGTGATGGTGTCCCGATCATGTTTTGATTATGTTGTGATGGTGTCCCGGTCATGTTTTGCTGGTGTCCCGGTCAAGTTTTGATGGTGTCCCGGTCATGTGATGGTGGCGCGGTCATGTTGTGATGGTGTCCCGATCATGTTTTGATTGTGTCCCAATCATGTTGTGATGGTGTCCCGGTCCTGTTTTGATGGTGTCCCGGTCATGTTTTGATCGTGTCCCGGTCATGTTGTGATGGTTTCCCGGTCATGTTTTGAAGGTATCCCGGTCATATTGTGATGGTGTCCCGGTCATGTTGTGATGGTGTCCCGATCATGTTTTGATTGTGTCCCGGTCATGTTTTGATGGTGTCCCGATCATGTGATAGTGTCCCGGTCATGTTGTGATGGTGTCCCGGTCATGTTTTGATGGTGTCCCGGTCATGTTGTGATGGTGTCCCGGTCATGTTTTGATGGTGTCCCGGTCGTGTTGTGACGGTGTCCCGGTCATGTTTTGATGGTGTCCCGATCATGTGATGGTGGCGCGGCCATGTTGTGATGGTGTCCCGATCATTATTTGATTGTGTCCCAGTCATGTT